GTGTGTGTGTGTGTGTGTGTGTGTGTGTGTGTGTGTGTGTGTGTGTGAGCACACATGGTAGTGTCTATGGCAGGGCCTAGTTTATTCAACATCACAAATGCAGTTTCATCTGTGCATGCGTTTCCCTACAGAGGGTATCACGAGGGTTGAAAGTTGATACAGGTGCATGAGGGGGGGTGTGCGTTTGTGTGAATGGTTGTTAGAATGTGTGTTTTCTTCTGTGTTCATTAATTGAAATCAATGTTCAATACCTGAGGTAAAATGTTTTTAGCAATTAATGGCACAAAAACAGCCAAATCGATACACTCCAGAATTTCAAGTGCGCTCTCATTTGCTCAAGTTGATACATGAAAAGATACATTTGTTTCTTGTAGCCATAAATAATCAGAACTTGCCATGACTGAGTGTGTTTCTTTGCACTTTTGGGTTTTCCTATCTGGTCTGATTAGAGATATTTTATAAAGGAACACTTTTTCTGGACAGTATTTGTGAAAGCCTGACACAGTGCTGTGGTGGCTACCTGCATCCATGTTGAGTGCCAGCGTCTGGCTGACGTCTCCTGGTGGAAGCAGGCCGGGCCAGGAGGCAGTGGGCTCCAGCTTGCTCACATCATAGTGGCTTGGCAAGGTTAAGGGATGAGGTGGCCTCACCGTGGGCATGAGCAGGGGCCCGTAATGTTGCTCCAAAGCTGACGGTGAATACAGTTCGTGGAGAGGCCGTGGGTGGCCGTAGGCTGGGGCCTGGGGATATCCCCAGCTCTCTGGTGGGTGAGGGTGAGGGTGGGAGTGAGGATGAGCGTGTGGGTGCGGCAGGCCCGGGTGCAATGCTGATGCGTATGGGTCCATGGAATAGGAAGGCACACCCGTCTCACAGTGGGAGCGGCTCTGTGGCGAGGAGTAGTTACTGTCCCAAAAGGATGGGGGAAAGCTCCGTCGACTGCTAGGTGAAGGGGTATCTAATGGGAGAGGGAGGCAGAGAGGGGGAAAGAGGAGGGAAATTTAGGACGAGTCATGAATCTTTATTAATAGAGACAAATGGAAAAGGCTGGAGCTGATCAACAGGAGCTACCTGTGCTAAAACATAGATATCTTCCCCATCGGATCATGCTGTCACACAGTCCTAACCCCAACAAGACACAAAAATAAACACAACCATGTTCAGAGAGAGAGCGAGAGAGAGGGCGAGAGAGAGAGGTCCCTATATCCTAGGATTCTATATAAGGTAGACGCTCTGACCTGGAGGGAGGCCAAGGCTCACAGAGCCTTAAATCACTCGCTGTGGTGACATCTCTCACTCTCATGTCAGCCGAGTACTTCTGAAAGTCTCGCAACACACTCATGCACACACACACACACACACACACACACACACACACACACACACACACAAAACTGGCCCTGTACTCACGCCTGCTGCCCCTCTCTTCTGTCTTCTGCACCCCCACCTGTTGTTTTCTCTGCTCCCCCCTCTCCTCGCCCTTGACAGAATGTCAGCGAGCCATTATATGTTTTTACAGTATACTTGTGTGTATATATATATATATATGTATATATATATATATGTGTGTATATATATATATAGATATTCCTCTCAAAAAAGACACCATGCAGCATCCTGAGAGGTAATGTTTCTCTCTGCCCCTATCACACTGACCACAGCATATATAAATCTGACCAGCAGGCAGGCAACTGACTGAGCAGCCATTGTGGGGCAAGAGCTGGAGCGATAGTCAGAATGGCAGCCGCGGAGACGTTTGAAGGGGATACGGCGACGAGGCTGTGCGCTTACGGCCATGTATAAACATAGCATCTGTTGTGAGGCAGGAAGCGTGTGTTAGTGCCGAAACGAAGACGTCCAACTGAACTAGGAAAGAGACTAACGCCGATAGCGGAGAGAGTAGAGGCTTATAGGCCCTATATGGATATTCAAAGAAAATCTGCAGGCTGCTGGCACAAAAGATTTGAAAATGACTATGTTTGTACTTTGCATTTTGGTGCAATCCTCATGAAAGCAAAAAACTAATAATGTTGCTATTTAAAAATAAAAAATCTCATGCTTTTCAGAGTAATACTTGTGGAATTTGTGAATGTTCTTTGCCTTTAAGAAAATGTACGAAAGCTTTATAACACACATGAATCCCATCAGTGTCTTTTGGGGCAAGGTTGCCAAAACCCACACAACATGAACAAGACCATGTAATGCTTAAACTCAGAGCCTGGCATCAAAAAGCTGCCGATATCATTTCTGGATTCCATCTTTGGACACTGAACAGCTCCTGACCTTCATGACCTCTGAACCTTACGACCCGATCTCTCCAGGGACCACAGTCTCAACAAGCAGCTTTTCAGTCCTGTCACCTGATCATATCACCTGTTTGGCGCTCTGCTGTGCTCTGCAGAACTGTCCACTCACCCCATGTGTGGCCTCAAAAACAAGCGCAAGACACCACACAGACAACTGTGGCACCGGAGCTCACAGAAATAAATGGAAAGTATGAGACCGCAGGGATATAGTGCAGGGCAAAAGCCACCTAAACTCAGTTTACACAACTTTTTTTAGATTTGCATGACTGAAATAAATGTGTTGTAACATTGCAGTGAGTCAGATTAACTGGTGCAATAACATTCAGACAGGGTCCTAATTAATTTCATGAAAAGATAATTGATTCATGGTTTTGCGAAATACAATGGTGCTGTTTTCTTCATATTCAGACACTGGGCATAGGATTTACTGGAGTTTGTGTTTTCCAAGGAGAGTAGCCAAACCAACTCTGTTGATTTGTTGGATCCATACTGTTCTGTAATTATGGACATGAAAAGTACTTTATATGTCCATTATCACTACATTTAAGTAGGTTTTGCATTACCGACATACGTAGACAGTTGTGTGTGCCTTTATTTGACTAGTCTTTACAAGGTGGTATACCTGTGCCCTGTTGGTCTGGTGCCCGCCGTTTGCCCTCCCCGTCCAAGTAGGAGCTGAGTGCCCTGGAGAAGTGCTCGTCCACCACGCTGCTGATGTCTCCCTGGTAGTAGCTGAAGAGGACACAGCGAGAAGTCAGGTACTCTGCCTCAGGGGCCTCCTGCTTCTCCTTGGGGCCCTCCTCTGGCCTTAAAGCTGCAGGCGTGTAGGAGGAAGTGGAAGAGTTGGATGAAGATGAAGAGGAAGTTGATCCTCCAGCGCCTGGGCCCCCAGACATCCCCTCGGGACCCCTGAGAGTATCCATAAAATCCCGGCAGAGAGGAGAAGTGTTGCTCAGACCTGTGGGAGCCTGCCAGGGGGGGGGGGGGTTAGAGAAGAGGCGGGGGAGGAGCGAGTTAAGACAGGTGTTACACAGGACAGTTTTGGAGCTGTCTATGACACGTTTTGACATAATGTTTTTCTTTGTGTGTGGCAGCGCTGGCATGTGTGTGCATGTGCGCGCACAGGCGTGCGTGTGTCAAGATGTAAATGTTGTGGATGTAGAAAAAACAACACCGCTAATCTGGGTGTTCGTAAATGACTAATTTAATTAAACGGATACTCGCAACACAAACATATAAAACACTCTCAACGATCCATCAAGTGACTTGCTTTTACGCACTAGCTGCATGCATTCCTCACCTCAAACACCCCTTAATCAATAACTCATTCCCCGCTAACTCTGAAAATAAAAATGTTACGTGAACATATAAATATTTGCTCACTTCCTACCTGAAAGCTATTGATTAAAGCAGGAACAGTCGGGGCGTACGGTGCGTAATGTCCATAGGCTGGGTAGATAACATCCAAACAGCTCATGGTAAACGAGCGGCGTCTTCACTGCTCTGTGTAAACCGACCTTGCTGACAGAGAGAGTGACAACATTCCTGTTGTTGTTTTTTTGCCGAAGAGAAACGGGCTCGGTAATCGCTGATCAGTGTGAAAAAGCCGTTACCGGACTCGACATAATCACCCCAGAAGAAGCACACCTCTCTGTTCACTGTGTGCGCCACAACAGCTGCGGCAGCAAAATGTGGTGAGGTTTATGGAGCAAGCATGAGGGTGTCCAGTCCTGTACATCTCTGTGTCAACCCCTCCCACCTTTACCAGCCCACACACACGCACACACACACACACACACTTCAACACCACCAACACTCCCACTACCAGCAGATCATTGGTTGCACAAGTGAATGTTTCCTTTTGACACCAATAATTAATTGGCAACAAGTTGTAATCTATGCATATGAGAGGTGTCAAAAGTATAGATGTAAATCATGTCAAAGTCAGAGACTGCAACATTTCCATTCAAGTTGGAAACAATCTGTGACTAATAATGGCTCCACAATTTCTTAATCCTGGTGTAAAATAAAGGTTAAATAGAATGTCATCCAGTTACACAAATAGAGTTGGATGAAGTCATTGAGCTTAATAGCTAGCCACACGACAATGAGCACATGTGCATGTGATTAAGTGACATTTTATTTATTTCCATGTACTGGATACTTAAAAACGTTGCACTCAGTCCAAGCTGAAAGTGTATCCGTGGTCTTAAAACAGCCATCGGTTGCCAAGTAAACCTTCAAGTCATCGGAAGTATTTAGTGTGTTCCCAGAATGGCACATACGTGTTGACTATAGGTTGCATACACTGGCCATACTAACATAGAGGAGTAAGGGACTCTGCACAAATCTATGACAAATTATCACCTATCAGCAGTGCAAACAAAAAGATATTTTCACACACACACACAAACACACCCAATGACAATCACAACCAGACCTAGGAGCAGAGAATTTATCATGCGCCCATGTACAAAATGACTAAAAATACATCTTGAAATCATTAACAACAGGTTGGATACATTCTCCAGAAAGTGTAGTCCCTTTCTCCTGTTTTAAGGTTTTTACAGGTGCCTGATGTTTGGGCATGCCAGTCTTTTTGACGAGCACTTCAGAATGCCTCGTAGAATAGTGTGGAAAATTTGCAGAATTCCATGGACGAGTGTCAGATGAGGTGGAATGTCTCTGATGTATGCGAGTGGACGAGCTCCTCGGGAAGTTACATCGTCCCTCTGCTGCGTTCTCTAGATGGAGAACATGACCAACATCTCGCTATGTATACATCACACATAGTATGAATAACTATAGTGGCGGGTTATTGGCATGCTAATGAATTGAACATGCTCTTAAATAGCAGTGGATAAAGCAGACATGAAACACTTAAGTTCTCACTTGTCTTGCATCACTGTTTTGATTAAATGGTTTTACAGCTTAGCACTGCAATATAATACTGTAAATTTGACAGTATGTTACTGCAATTAAAGTATTAGCAAAGTGTGTCTGTTTTTAAATCTAATTAATAAATAGATTGGAATTTGTAAATCCACTTTTCAAACTGATCAGTCTTAACATTATTGGGGTAATAATCTTATTTCAGTCCATTCCTCGCAGCATGATGTGCAATATGACCCACTAGATCCATATACATGCAGGGTAACACAGGACAGCATTGGAGTCAGAGAGAAAGAGAGTGATGCAATGCTAGAAAGCTCAGTGTTGCACCAGCGTGATCAACAGCTGCAGCTGACAGAGGGAAAGGGAGACCACTATTATTATTAATGGCTATGACTAAATTTCTCTCTGTGTCTCTTTCTGTCCCTGCCTCTCCCTCCAACTTGTCTTGCCTAGTGATACACACACTATTTAATCTCACTATTAAATGCTGAAAATAAACACAGGTTACATCACTCCTTGTGACCCTGCAGCATATCCAGCCCCGCCTCTTTTAAAAGAGGACTGATTAAGCAAAGTCTCTCATTGGCTGAGATGTTGCAGGGCCTGTTGAGGTATTAATGGCAACCTGGTTTTATTTAGACAACTATTCACATTGCAACACCACCATTAATAGTTTATACTCTATGCTACAAATACAATGAGTACATTACAGAAAAGAGTGCACACGTGTACTTTTATTAACCCTTTACATTACTCATTACTTCGAATGAGCTGTTTATATCTACATGAAGCGGGTCCTCTTCATGGAGACGACCGCCATGTTTCTACAGTAGCCCAGAACAGACAAACCAAACACTCTAGATTGGGCCATTCGTGTTTTTTTTACCAAACAGCATAGTTCAGCATATGCGCTTGGCACACGGGAGACGTTTCCGTTTGTTGCAATTTGCAAACTCACTGTTAGATACTGCCAGGTCCTACACAATAGACCTTTAAAGAGAAATTGTCAAAGTGTAAAAAATTGTACAATCATTAATGTAAATGCAATTCAGGACAATGCAATCAGTAAGATTATGGCAGATGTCTGTAAAATGGGGCCTGTTGAGAACCTGAAACCACATAAGCTACCTCCTGAAACAACAAGGCCTTTATTAAGGTCCCAGTCTGGCTTGGTCCCAAGGGGGTCGGACCTCAGGATTCCACTGTTGTTTTATATGTCTCAGTGTGTACGTGCCTCTGTGTGTATATGTATATATGTCCAAGACAGAGATGTACAGCTGCCCCGTTGTCCAGTTCCACACAAACTCATCTCAGCTGCTCAAAATCATCAAGTGTCATTGGAAACATAGACACTTTGGCACACACACACTCAGACACACACACACACACTCGGACACACACACACACAAAGGGCCACATATGGACAGGTCCGGCTCATTCATCCATTTACACAAATGTTGGTGATAAATCTTCTGTGATAGAATGTGCAAGTGTGCAGCTATTTTCTTCCTAAAACAACTCCCTCATTGTGTCCTCACCGACCACCAGGACACCAGAGCTTAAACATGATTTAAAGAATTTTAAGGATCATATTTGTTTTAGCCCATTCATTAGAAACCATGTACACTTTTACATTGGTGACAACTATTTTCCTCAGCATACCTAGGCCTAAATATTTACATTGTTTAATGCTTTTTACTACCTCCCGAGTCATCAGTATCAGCTAAAGGCAGCATCGTTTTATAACCACATGACCACCAATGTATCTCTATGTATATTTTTTGTGAAGATGATATCATGTGGGATTTCGGATGCTGGAAATATTGTGATTGATGGCTCTTTTCATGGTCTTAAATGTTACATTACAGTTCAGTTAATGCAGCAATTTTTCTTTTCACAAATATTTCTTGAAATATATAAAGAAAATACCTGAAATCATCCCCACATACATATTTTCTCATCATATTATATTTTTTAGGAGTAGTATGCTGATGTTTTATTATGTCACCCATCCCTAGTTGATTGTTGATTGATTTGCCTTTAACTCAGATATTTTCTCAAGCACGTTCATTTTCATGTCGGCCTGAAATGAACAGTTCTGTTGAGAATAGTTGAAAACACTTTCATAAATCTCAAATGCTTTGAAAAGAGGTGAGCAGTATTATATGTGGCTTTGTAATGAATCGGCTTAAACATGAAATAACACTGTTCTGCTTCTACTGTGTTCTCGTGGTTATGATTCCTTTATGGTGGCTGCGGAAGATGCAAGTTGTCTGAGAAAATGTGTAATATACAGAGTTGCAGCACATTGACAGAACCTCAAATTTCATTAATGTAAGCAAGCAGTTTGAACCCCTAAATTTACACACACACACACACACAGAGGGAGAGAGAGAGAGAGAGAGCTTGTGCGCAGGTAAATACCCTGAATGTTGACTGTCTATTAAGGGCTAACCCTCTGAAACTGACAGAATGTGAATTAACAGCATCCTCGGAGAGGCTGACAAGTGCTACATTCCTAACATCTTATTACCGAGAGTGCCCTGCTGCCACTGGGTCACTGGAGTTATGCACACACAATCACATATTCACACACAGATATAAAGCCAAAGGAACACATACAAACACATAAAAAGATGCACACAGAAACACCGATCTGGGCATGTGGGATTGTCACCTTCCTGCTTGACATTCCATTGGGCCAGAGGGGGCTGGAGTTAGAAGGGCACTAGGGGTGGAAGTAAAGAGGTGTGGAGGATGGACGAGAGGGCAGAATCACAAATTTGGCATGTCACATGGTCAAACAGAGAAGATTTGCCACTGATCAGGTTCCACATCGGCAGCGTGGTGTTGTGGCTTCAGAATGCCAGGTATGGGAGTGAGATCAGACTCCGGCTTTAGACTGTACACCCTTTCTGGCAACTGCAGCCAGTGTGACTGGCTGACGACGGCAGTGTTATTGGGGTTTGGCGTGAGGAATGTGCTCTCTCACTGTCTGCTCTTTTACATCTTCCTGGTTGTACAGATTAGACGTATAGAGAAATAGGCGGGAGCACCTGCACATGCAGAAAACTGATATGGATTTGGAGTGAAAGCAAGAAGCCAAAGAAACTGTGTATTGTGAAATTAGTTGAAACATGAAACTGTTCAAAATGGAAAAAAAAATACTGCCTTGTTTTCTTTCTCACATTGTCTTTCGCTCTCTGTCGTCAGGAGCTATGATTTACTCACCGGTGACATCATGGAGACCACAGCTATTTTTATTGGCTGGTAAATGGCCAGCTCTTCTCCATGCTATGCCACCTGTCCAATCCGCACCAGTCAACAAGCCCCTGGGAGAAAAAAGTCAAGCACCCAAAAATGATTGAGAGTTGAAAGGCGGAACATGATACATGCATGCCATGCTACTGTCCTAGGCATGTTTCACAAGTCAATGCTATCCCGTACTGAGTTTCCTAATTAAACTCTCATACAAACAGTTATCCAGTGTCGGCCTAATGTATATTTTGGTTTCCCACATACATTCTTTTGGGGTTTGCATGTGAATTTAAAATAAAATACCTCTGTTTAGGAGGCCTTGTGATCTACAACATGTTCTGTGCCCCTTGTTTTCCCCTGCAGGCTTTAGACTTGTGTGTGTGTGTGTGTGTGTGTGTGTGTGTGTGTGTGTGTGTGTGTGTGTGTGTGTGTGTGTGAGAGAGAGAGAGAGACTCCAAGGTGGGGTTATTCCTGTCCTTGTGTTGTGTGTTCTGAGGTGCAATTTAGTCACATGCCCTCTAACCAACCCTTGGCCC